ACGCTCTCTCTCTCTCTCTCTCACACACACACACACACACACTCACGCACACACACACACATACACACACGCACCCGCTAGCATACACAAGCTCGCAAATTCATACTAGCATACACTCACAGAGGCATGCTTACAAACACACACCCACACACATACAGGTATTTCCGAATGGATACATATAGGCCTTCTACTACATACATGTGGCAAAGTCCAATCAAGATTCCAAAGGTCGCAGAGAAGAAAAGATGTCAGAAAGGTTCTATTCCTTGATCTCCATTACAAATTGCTCCTACACGGCTACGTCGCCTTGCCAAAAGTATCATACCGGAATTGTATAGAGCAATAAACGTTATTGACATAGGGTATTTATATTTGGAAGCCTACATGGAGAAAAGGCACACGTATGCACAGTAATACAATTATCAACAATCGCTTGTATTTCAAGAAGCCACAGAAAAAAGATTTCCTGTCCTTCTTTCTCTGCACGGTTATTACAAATTTGTTGTCAATGTCTGACTACAAGCATTTTTAAATACAAATGGGAAGCATCGTTGTGAAATCAGGCGCTCGTCAAAACTATGACATTAAAATAACGTCATTTTTCTGGCCGTTGGGCGTTTTTCGCTTTTGAATTTTTGAATTTTTTTGTTGCTCATACTTTATGTCTTTGCTTAGATTGTACTGAAAAACGTTGATCAAATACACAAACTTCGTAATTGCGCTGTTCCCAAGGACACTTAAACTGTGGAAGTCTCCAGACTTTGGCAGCCATTTTTTCGCAGCTTTTATCGCTAACAACTGGTAACCCCCACCTTCTTCAATCTAAGAAATCTCGACTTCTTTTCAAGATAAAAGCAAGACAAGTGAAAAAGGTTTATGATGATACCATTAATTCCGCATGCTCAAAGGTGTACCAGCGCCCGATTCCACCGCGCCGTGACACACATTTTGTCATAGAGTATTGCTGGACAAAATGAAACAAGCCAAACAATCGACGCAACGACACTTTAAAAAATGTGGCGTGCCCTTTACCCTTTGTAATCTTTATGTGAATAATTTTTTAAAATGTTAGTTTTCTCTGTGCTTACTGTTTGTTATACTGTCACATAGACGCCGATATGAAATGGGATCAACTGACAGCGGTAACAGAAAAGAAGATAGGGAGAAGAAATAAGAAGGACAAATAATTATTACACAGCCCCGTTGACACAGATACACATACGATAACTCAAATGTCAGATCCCTTTAAAAAAAAGAAGAAAAAAAGAAGATTCTTTCATGTTTTGAATCCCTGTCTTGCAAGTCATTGTGCTCTAAGTGGCGTCACAAAATGCAGTGCCATTCAATGACCTTTCAACATATTAGAGCAAAACTTAAAAGGCAGGAACATTCTAAAAGGGTTGACGTGCGCGTATGCCAACTTTTATAGCGACAGATATAGAGACACACATT